ATCTACAACTTCATTATTGGTGGTTTTTTCCCGCGAAACCGTTCCTGAACTGTTGCTTTAAGTTTGATTGAAGAATGTGCGACCAACACGCTCATCTACGCCTTCTGTTTCACTGTTATAGTTCTAGACGTTCTCCCGCTCAAGCCCGGAACAAATTAGGTGGGCGATATGCAGCGGTGCGACCTCTGAAGTAATAAGCGTAGAAAGTCGCCTCCATGGAAGGGAGATTTGCCTCGACAAAGCTACTGGAAGTGGGCATCCACTTTCCTGCAGTGTCGATGTTGTTCGGGTCTCCGCACGGAGCAATTCTTCTAATGTTGAGAGCATAAGAGAGCACGACTCCTACTCCCCGCTCCATCATTCACGGGATTCTGCGCAGAAGTCGCTTCCGCGCAGCGCAAAGACGATATGACTGACTTCATTATCGCTCATGATAAAAAGTGGATATCGTATGAAAATCCACACAGGAAATTGCAATGGCTACCAGTGGACGTGAAGCCCCAACCCGTTCCAAAGCGTGGTGCCCACGCCAAAAAGGAGATGATATCATTCTTCTTCTGCTCCACCGGCTGCATATACTACGAGATCTACCGAGGGTACTGCGGTGACGGCAAGAGTATTCTGTGAGCAACTGCGAGAGATGGTATCCCAAGCCCCAGTTCACCGACTACAAGGAAAGTTTGTATTGTGATGGACAGTGCTCGACCACACCATGCGAGGACGACGACGGAGGAGCTGGAAAGACTTGGGATCACCTGGCTACCCCACCCTCCATATTCACCTGATCCTTGTGACTACCATGCTTTCAGAAGCCTGCAGGCCTACACCAAAGGGAAAAATTCAACAACCGTCAGGAGGTCAAGCATGCAGTAGATGAATGGATCGCGTCACGCCCCTCTTCCTTCTGGAAGAAGGGCATCAGTGCTCTGCCCATTCGATGGAGGGACGTTGTGGCTAAAGAGGGCCATTTCTTGATATACAAAAGGTGCCAGTATCTCTACTGCAGATTCTAGACCAACCAAGCATTGGAAAGGGGCAAATCGACATAGGCAAATCGACAAAGCGATTGCCGCTGAATTGTAAAGTTGAAAAAAAAACTCAAAGCTCTTCATACATATACACAGCTAAAAAACACGCTGACGGTTGAGGGAGACAAACAGGAGAAAAACCAGAATTTTTTTATTGGTAACAACACGAGATTACGTTCAGTTTTTTGTTCATGATGAAAATGCTAGGCACAAGAGCTGGAAACATTATCACGTACTAGGGATTTCGAAGAGGCATGGTGACGTATGCAAAAGTTTCCGATCCATTCCAACAATTCTTTATTATGAGGTTTCGATAACGTACGATCTGATGCCAAGGATTTTCTTGTATAAAATATACTTTCAGCACAGCTCGGCGAACTGGCCCATGTTAGGAAAAAATGTTTAGCGAAATACATAGTTTAGAATATCAGTCCTTATCTTGGACGGCAGCACCATGAAAACACTCTAACAGGGCAAGAACCATGTTTTATCTTTTACGATCGCTCCTGCTGTTTTCAATAAAACTGACCGGAGTGATCCATGGAAGAATTGAGAGATTCGCGGGCTCAGAAGCCGTTTCCAATTCTCTTCTTTTTTGCTAGATTCAAACTCATGTTAGGGGCTTCATATGGGGCTTCGGTTCCTTGCGAAGCTCGAAACGTCAAGTCTCTCCTTAGGAGGACATGGTTTTTACTTCCACCTACCCAGTACCTCGCGCTCTCGACGCGTTATTGATGAGAAGAGCGCTTTACGGGAAGGTCTATGTCATCATCTCATGTCCCAGTACATTTTACTATTGTACCATGCCGTCCTTTTTCCCACTCAGTACACCGAGTTTGACCAGAGAAAATCGTTCGGTTGAAGCACATGGTAGGCAGGCAGGTGAAAAGTAGGAGTCATCTTCTCTATGAGCGGAGCTCGCATGCGACAAGAATATCAGCGAGTGAATGTACAATTTTCCTGTCTTCTTGTCCAACTTCCTGAGTTTTTTATGCGGCTCAACTTCAGGAAAAAAGGGATTCTGAGAAGTTCGTTTCGGGTATGTTTGCGTTTTTATTCCTCTGTTGAATGTATAAAAGGCGATGATCAAGCCATGTCATGTACTTCAGAAGCTAGCTTTCTCGACTCATCTCGCTCCATTTCGCCTGTACAAACTCCAACAGCTGTTTTGTACATGTTTCGGATAACCGCACTTTTTACAGCGCTGGGGTGTGCAGACCTCGCATGGAGTAGGATGTTCTTTGAACTGCTTTTCCTGTACCACTTCACACTATACGTTCCGTTTGAGACTTTTATCTGCGTATTTAAATAAGGTAGCCAGCCGTCGTGTGGAGCTTCTCTCGTGAACTTTATGTACTGCGACTGTTGGTTGAGAATGTTAAATAATTCGTCCATTTCGAGCTGCGTTGAAGTAATTACGCAGCAATCGTCAATATATCGGCAGTACATAATGGGCATGCGTGCTAGCACCGGTCTTTCTATTTTACCCATAAAGCATATAGCCAGGACTGGTGCTAGACGTTGGCCCATTGCAAGTCCTCGGTTCTGTGTGAAATATTGTCCACTCCACTTGAAAATGTTACAGCTCAGGCATTCCTTTACCAGTGTCATTATGTGCACTTTACTCAACCCGAACGTCACAATTCGTGCATTATGCTCATCCAGCATTTCAGAAAGTGCATTGGAGAGCTTCGTTGTTGTCTACGTTCGTATAGAGCGCAGTTTACATCAAATGACTCTGTTACGCAGTTTTCTTGGATTCTGCAGGAACGTAGTCGATCTAGAAATTCTCTTGTGTTAGGTAAGTGTGAGGGTACATACTGGAGAAGTTGACCAACAATTTTGTTGAGAAACCACGAGAATAGGCGAGAGAACCACCACCGACTGATTGGTAACCGAGTTTTCGAAATTGGCTCCAATGTCAGCCAATGTTAGAAGTAAGCCTCCAAGATAATTTGTCGCTGAGCAAGCATCTCCCATTTGTTTAGCCCATCATCGGAGATACGTCACCTTCCGTGGCGTAGAAACATCCCGACGGTGGTCGGAAACATTACGGCAAAAGTGGATGATGCTTGAAGCAAACCTTCCGCTAAACACGTGACAGCTTTGGACGCAGTGAAAATTTCTAACACTAAATAATTTTTCGTGATTAAAAACAGGCCTAATTACAAAGAGCAAAAACGTCGTGTCCAGCATGATCTCATCCCCGCCAAAACTACCACTCAGCCAGTCCGCCACTGACTGTTCTTGTCTGCCGGTGTCTCTTACAGTGGGCTTTCATTTAAAAACCTTCCGTAACTCTTTCAGAGAATCGTTTCGCAAATTTGGAGAGTGGATTTGAGATCAGCGTCCGAAAACACATCTCTGAGTATAGGTTTCATTACGGATGGCCACTTCGACTTGGTATCCTTCCCTTGTGAGGCTTCACCGTCGGAACGTGCTCGTAAGAAGTGGCGCCGCTTGCCACTACGCATACCCGCTCCATCAATTTATGTCAAATCTATATTTTTGTGCATTTATACGTATAAATTATATTTGTCATGCAACTCTTGTCGCTGAGCTGCGCAAGCTACCCAAGTTCCCATTCTTTGTAAGTACCAATAAATCAACAATCTTTAATTTGTCGGGTGAGAAAAACAAATACAACATCACATAAAACGCAAACAATCTATTAGATACATGTATTTATACGCGAGTGTGGACGGGTCGGTGTTGGAGGACGGCGAAAAAGCAGTGGAGGGCGTTTTCATCCTCTGCTTAACTCTTGACTACTTAAATCTACGTGTCATACCGGTAGGGCATCATATATCACGCAGCACTCTTATCATCTAGACATAATAGTCCAATCAGTCAATCAATACACGATAAGTAATCAAAGCTCACAAAAGGCTAACTGAACTTTGGGAAACAACACCGCATTTGTTTCGAATATATCTCCAATAATCACACAATTTTTGTGAATAGTAGTATTGATAAGATCGGATGGCGGTGTCACACATCGAAGCAATTTGGAATGAGCGAAAATCGATCACGGATCTCCAAAAATCGGAAATCGGAAGTCGCAATTCCGCCCAATCCAGCTTAAATACACGCCATGCAATCCGCCACAACGCTAGAAACAACAGCAAACAAATAAATATCCTCTCAAATCATCGTAAACAACAAATTTTCGAATGGAAACTGTGCCACATTTTAGTACACAACTGAAAACGAAGAAATCAACATGATAATTTTGATATTACCGTCTGATATTCATCGCTATCGATTACAATATGTGATGAGCCTTTCCGAGCAGAAAAGGGAGGAAAACGCTGTGGAGTGCTTATGAGGGCAGATAATTTGCGAACGAATAAGACTAGTATTCACAACAAACAAAACAATTCTGTACAGCCAAACATTCTGTGAAACCAGAATATGCAATGTGGACGAGTTGTTCCGTCGTGTTCCGAGACGGTGAAACTCGTACGTGCTTTACATTCTGAAGCCAAATGCTTCAATAAACTGCACGATAAAGTCTTCTTTATCGCCCGATAGTGGTTCGTTATCAAACGTGTCACATCGCTGTGATCGGCCATGATTTAGATCAGCTAAAATTGAATATTTAGCAGATTCTTGCTGGCATGGCCGAAAACTCGTACAACTTACCATCAAGCCATAGACCGTAATGTCCACCACCAGCACCGATCGACAGCGAATCTTTGGCTGCATTAACGAAGAACTGATTCTCACCGGTCCAGCCGAAGTGCCGCAAATCTCTGAAATGACAACAGTTTTTCAGAGTAAAAAATAGCTGTCGTAATGAAGGTGAAAAACAAGAGACTTAGAAATAGCTCTGAGGAAAGAAATATATCAATAGTTTTATTCCTACTGGACAGAAAATACCAAAATACCCCCTGACTCTTCAGTATAGAAGGCCTGAAACAGTGCGTCGAAGAAGAACGCATAATACTTATAAACTGGCAAATAAACTATTAGAAAATGTAAATATTGTGATTAGAACTCTGTAATGATATGTCAATTGTTCAACTAATTCGGAACAGAAAACACAGAGCTGAGAGTTTGACTGAACGATACCCTTCGAAACTCGGAGTGGGCGTCAGCAAGCCATAGTTCCCAAAATAGCCCTCCAAAAAGATAAAAGGCCTACCGCCTCATTGGCTAACACCAGAATGATTTCTATTTCGCTATTTTTTTTATAGGCCCGTCAGCTGAACATGAACAAATAAAAAATCAATAAATAAAATGACCAATCGAAACCTGTTGTTGGCGCTCGCCAAGGATCGCTCAATCAGAAAAAAAGGCAAATCGCCGGTGCCCGTGTAGTGATCGCAAGGACGAATTGCCCCCGACACCACTGCTCCAAAGACATGCTCACGAGTATCGCGAACAATCAGAAGTACGGGCGAGAGATCTTCGTCGAATTCGATCATTTTTCTGAAAAAAATAAGAGCTATAATTTCATTATTATCTTGTCACAGCCATTCTGATACAATATCAAATTTTTTTGAGGAAGGTACAAAAAAGTTTCGAATTCATTCGGTTTGCTAGCGCACCTCTTAAAACCTGAGGCATACGCTATTCAAGTTTACTGTATCCCTTGCTAATGCGCTGCTTCGGCCGCCTTACAACATCGCAACTGTCAACCCAACAGCGAACTTTGGTGCCAAATAGATCGGCATATTGAAGAAAACTTCAAAAGACTTCTTACAATTTTCTGGATCGTTTGCTACAAATTTTAATCAAACGAAGTCTTTCAAATCAAATTATTCATTCTCTTCCTTTCAACTTTCAGTTTTGTATTTGAGTTATTCCATAACAATGGACATTTGGACTACATTATACGTAAGTGAACGTCATTCCAATAATTTTGTCAAACAAAAATTTTCGTAGCTTTGATTTCCCAAAATTGTTATTGTGCCTTATCATGAATTATGTGGAAAAAACAATGTACGATGATGTAATGTGGTGGAAACATTGTCCGCCTCATAAGTCGACATTCACCATGAATATCGTATCAGATTTACCTAAAGCTCAAACGGAAATCCTAGTCGATGCTGCTCGTTCAAGGGCAAATAGAAAAGCATTCGGCCTTAACTATTCCGTTGGATACGCCATGCATTCCACCACCATTCAGGATTGTGGTAACATTTAAATGCGATTTGGTTCCATGGAAACACTTTTAGCGAGGGAACTAGGCGGTAGGCGATCGGTATCAGTGAACTTGTTCCTCCAGACGAGCAAGATACCCATTAAACTGCCCCGGGAAATGGCTGGCTTGGCCTTAGCGAGAGTTAATCTCAAATTTGACCCCGATCATGCAGCTTTCTGAGTTGCTCCACTCGCAACTGCACCAACTTTACACACAATTCTTGATAAGTTTTGAAACCCTGAACGAATACAAGGGATACAAGGGACAAGTGAGGCTCATCCAGCGCAAGAGAAGAGAAGCATGAACAGTTTTCATATGACTACTTTTCTAACAAATCCTCCAATTTTCCGCACCCTCCGTCAACTAACGTGTGGTCAAAATAATAGGAAGCTTGGAGCCTACGGAAAGAAATGAACAGGAATGGGGACGTTTTTGATGGTGTCCAACACCAGAACGCTATTTTTACATTTAATATCTTTTCTTTCAATTTAAAAGTCATCTACTATTGCAGCTCCGAATCGTACCGACTGCCCACTAATGGTAAGTGATCATTTTGCACTGAACTATTTCTGCCCCTAATGACTGTGACTGCCAATGGCTCAGAATCTGAACACGACTCCTAATTGGCACACGGTATCCTCTTGCAGGCTTCCCATTTGAGAGTCATTTGTAATGTGAAACCTTGACGACAGTGCATTTTTTAGAGCGCATGAGGCTGGCTGGCGCGTTTCTGTGAGAAAAAAAAAACGAAAAAAATCTGAAAGGCCTCAGTTAAACGCAGAATAGAATGTATCTAAATATTATCTGATAGCTTGATAGTTAAAATTAGGCATGATTTAAGAAGTAATCATAAAGCTATCCGGAAGGAAGTCCAAGAAAGAATGAAGTGTGGTGCCACGGTGCACCACGCCCGTCCCGCGCGGAGTAAAGGGTGTGATACTCTATGGTGTCACTCTGCTATCAAGGTCTTAAACGAATTAACCTCTCAGTACTGGCCCACTAGGAGTTAGAGCTCAAGACTTCGGCTTCACCATCTCCTGGTTGCGTCTTTAAGCCATCACTCCCAAAAAATATTTCAGTGGATCACCTGGCGCACATTGTATGGCCTACGTGACTTTGAGCAAAAACACGATGGTCCCACAG